AATAAATATCTGAAAAGTGTGGCATGCATTTGTATTCAGTCCCCTTTACTCTGATATTGAACATTCACTGTACATTCACTGAGCACTCACTAAACATTCACTCAGCATTTAAACATTTGCCACAGACTGGCCCCTAAAATGTACCTACAGAATTCACAGTATATAGTCACCTACATGCAGTTACTGAATATCTGGTGAATGTTATTCAGTCCAGCTTGATGTAATGGTACAAGGGGATTCACTTATAGGTGTTAAAGCTGAATATATATATACAGATGTTTCTACAATTAACAAAATAAAATATATATATACAGTGGCTTGAAACATTTTCATACCCCTTGAAATGTTCCACATTTTGTCATGTTACAACCAAAAATGTCAATGTATTTTATTGGGATTTTATGTGATAGACCAAAGTGGCACATAATTGTGAAGTGGAAGGAAAATGAGAAATGGTTTTCTCCTTTTTTTACAAGTAGATATATGGAAAGTGTGGCGGCATTTGTAATCAGTCCCTTTACTCTGATACCCCTAAATAAAATCAGAAGTCACCTAATTAGTAAATAGAGTCCACCTGTGTGTCATGTGATCTCAGTATTAATACAGCTGTTCTGTGAAGCCCTCAGAGGTTTCTTAGAGAACATTAGTGAACAAACAGCATCATGAAGACCAAGGAACACTCCAGACAGGTCAGGGATAAAGTTGTGGAGAAGTTTAAAGCAGGGTTAGGATATAAAAAATATATCCCAAGCTTTGAACATCTCACAGAGCACTGTTCAATCCATCATCTGAAAATAGAAAGAGTACGGCACAACTGCAAACCTACCAAGACATGGCCGTCCACCTAAACTGACAGGCCGGGCAAGGAGAGCATTCATCAGAGAAGCAGCCAAGAGGCCCATGGGTAACTCTGGAGGAGCTGCAGAGATCACAGCTCAGGTGGGAGAATCTGTCCACAGGACAACTATTAGTCGTGCACTCCACAAATCTGGCCGTTATGGAAGAGTGGCAAGAAGAAAGCCATTGTTGGAAGAAAGCCATAAGAAGTCCTGTTCACAGTTTGCAAATGTGGGGGACACAGCAAACATGTGGAAGAAGGGGCTCTGGTCAGATGAGGCCAAATTTGGACTTTGTGGCCTAAAAACCTGTACGTTGTTTATGTATTTTATAACTCCAGAAGTAACAACCATTTTTATTACCCCCCCCCCCCCCCCCCCCCCCCAGACATCAAGGTGTTTCCCAACACAGGTATGGAGTGGGTGTCAGGTGCTCTGAAAGAATGTTCTTTCATTTTCATGTTCTCCAAAGATCTTTAATCATCAGATCTATTCCATTGATTACCAATCCCACATCGGACGTGTCTGCACTGGTCGCTTCTCTTCTCCTCCACCTGCACGGCAAGATGTACAAACTCCACATTCAAAGATTCAATTTCGTTCATGAGAGAAAACTTTTCCATTACGCTCCTTTGAAATTTAGAAAATTAGAAATTAAAAATTAATCCTCTGAATAGGAAAGGTTTTTATACAATATTTTACTGGTGTATGGCCAGCTTGGAGCACCATTTTGGCTGTCTGCATTCATATCTACAGATGCAAACTATATGAAGTAAGGTTTATGATCCACTATCATACCTAGGGCCTGGACAAGGGGTGGGCAGGAGGGGCGGCTGCCCTGGGTGGGGTCGGAATTTGGGGGGGTTGTGCTATAAGGGGCAGAATAGTGGCTAATTGGTTAGCACTTCTGCCTGGCAGTACTAGGGTCATCGGTTCAAATCCCAACCATGGCACCACCACCTGCCTGGAGTTTCCCTGTGCCTGTGTGGGTTTCCTCCGGGTACTCTGGATTCCTCCCACCTCCAAAGACATGCTGGTAGGTGAATTGGCTCCTGTGTAAATTGTCCCTAGTATGTGTATGTATGAAGGTGAAGTTAGGGACCTTAGACTGTACACCCCTTGAGGGTTAGGGACTGATGTGAATTTACAATATATATGTAAAGTGCTGCATAAATTGATGGCGCTATATACAGACAGGTCCATAAATATTGGGACATCGACACAATTCTAACATTTGTGGCTCTATACACCACCACAATGGATTTGAAATGAAACGAAAAAGATGTGCTTTAACTGCAGACTGTCAGCTTTAATTTGAGGGTATTTACATCCAAATCAGGTGAACGGTGTAGGAATTACAACAGTTTGCATATGTGCCTCCCACTTGTTAAGGGACCAAAAGTAATGGGACAAATGGCTTCTCAGCTGTTCCACAGCCAGGTGTGTGTTATTCCCTCATTATCCCAATTACAATGAGCAGAAAAAAGGTCCAGAGTTCATTTCAAGTGTGCTATTTGCATTTGGAATCTGAAATCAAATCCAACCATGGCACCACCTGCCTGGAGTTTCCCTGTTCCTGTGTGGGTATCCTCCGGGTACTCCAGATTCCTCCCACCTCCAAAGACATGCTGGTAGGTGAATTGGCTCCTGTCTATATTGCCCCTAGTATGTGTATGTATGAATGTGAGTTAGGGACCTTAGATTGTACACTCCTCGGGGGCGGGGACTGATGTGACTGTACAATATATATGTAAATTGACGGCGCTATATAAGTACCTGAAATAATAACAAGATTCCTTCTATTATATTTTTTCCTGAAAATTTGTTTTTAATAAACAGTTGCACAAATATCATGTGACATAAAAATCTGCGACTAGCACCTTTTTATTCTACAGGGCTTCTCCTTTCAGAAAATATAGAATGTTCTGCCAATAAATTAAGATTTTTACAGATATGCGAAAAAATGAAACAAATTGTTCTGGAGACGAACTGGTTAAAATACGTTTATTCAACTTGTACGTTCATAAAATCTTAACTTTGTGTGTAGAAAATAACAGAAGAACACCAAGATTTCATATCACAGCGCATTATATCACCTAAGAACTGGACTTGAATCACCTCCACCAGATCATCCCCCGCAGCGATCACCTTTTGTATCCCCTCCCCCTTCTTTTAGATTGTAAACTCCACGAGTCGGGCCCTCCTATTCCTTCTGTACTGAAATGTATTGTAATTGTATTGTGTCGCTTATATTGTACAGCGCTGAGCAAACGGTCGGTGCTATATAAACCCTGTATAATAATAATACCTCACCCTGAGGTCATCACAGAGGACAAGGGGGCGCTCTTTACGTTTGGAGGAAAAGAAATGTAATCTCCAAACATGGAAAGGTTTCTTCACAGTGACAGCTGTGAACATGTGGAATAGACTCCCTCCAGAGTTGGTTGTGGCCAGCTCAGTGGATTGCTGTAGGAAAGTCCTGGATTCTTTCTTGGATACACAGAATATAACTGGATATAACATTTATAGGGAAAGCTGATCCAGGGAATATCCGATTGCCTCTCGGGAGATCAGGAAGGAATTTTTCCCCTGCAGGAGCCAATTGGATCGTGCTTTGCTGGGTTTTTTATTGCCTTCCTCTGGATCAACTGTGGGTGTAGGATTATAACTTTTTTTTATGGTTGAACTGGATGGACTTTTGTCTTTTTTTCAGCCAGACTAACTATGTAACTATATAATAATAATAATTAATATACTACTACTACTAATGATAATAATAATTAGTAATAATAACTACTACTACTAATAATATAAATAATAATAATAATACTACTACTACTACTAATAATATTAATAATAATAATAATAATACTACTACTTACTAATAATATTACTACTATAATAATAATAATAATACTACAACTACTACTACTACTGCTACTACTAATAATAATAATAATACTACTAATAATAATAATAATACTACTACTACAACTACTACTACTACTACTACTACTACTACTAATAATAATAATAATAATACTAAGAATACTACTACTACTACTACTAATATAATAATAATAATAATAATAATACTACTACTACTACTACTATAATAAATAATAATACCAATAATACTATTACTACTACTACTAATACTACTACTACTACTACTACTAATAATAATTATTATTAATAATAATATCATAAAAATGTTGACTATTTATGGTTCCAACGCGTTTCTTGGACTTAGTCCACTTCCTCAGCAGCCATCAGTATGCTTATGTACAAAACAATCTAGATAGAAATATCCTTAATCCTTAGAACATTCATCATCACAATATCAACTTAAATTAGGTGACAATCCACAGCATGTCAATGGAGGTGGGAAGGCGCAGGGCGAGGACCTAACCGGGAACCCATCAGCAAGCAGACCCCCACCCCATTCCTCTCCCTGTAATCAAAAATCTCACACTCTAACAACACTTTATACCGTCCTTGTAATTTGCAAAATATGTGCAGGTGCAGAAGTTTAAACCTCAAAAATAAATATCTTAACATATATTCAATATTTAAAACAAAACATAAAAAAAACTAAAAAAATTCCAAAATAAAAAGTATTTGAAGGGAACATTACCTGTTGTACTATTATTATTGTTTGCTGTTGGCTTGTACACCCTATGGCATGTGTCATGTTCCTTCATGTATAGCTGTTCATTCTACAAAGTCATACAGAGGGAGGCTCAGCTGTAATCGGTTCACAGAAAAAAACATTTGATTATCTTTTTCTTTTCTTTTTACCCGCGGGTAAGATTTTTGATTTGTTGATTGTGATACTCTGGAGCAGCTGTTTTCCCTTCCAAAAGGTAATTTTCGAGGGTGTCTTTGAGGTGATAAGGTCATGTTCTTATCATATATTATGCCAAATTAATGGGTTTTTGGCTTTTATCTGCATTATTCAGCTCTTCTTGTACCCTACACTGTAAAATACAGTTTATTTTAAAATAAACAAAATCTGTAAATACACTAAAGGTAACCCTTCTCATCCATTGACCCCAGAGGAAGCCGTAAAATAATTTTCAGGTCTTGAGAAACCCCTGCTAGAACTAATTCATTGGGGGCCAGTGGGAAGAATGTCCCTTACATTGGTGGTCAGTGAGAAGAATGTCCCTTACATTGGTGGTCAGTGGGAAGAATGTCCCTTACATTGGTGATCAGTGGGAAGAATGTCCCTTACATTGGTGGTCAGTGGGAAGAATGTCCCTTACATTGGTGATCAGTGGGAAGAATGTCCCTTACATTGGGGGTCAGTTGGAAGAATGTCCCTTACATTGGTGATCAGTGGGAAGAATGTCCTTTACACTGATGGTCAGTGGGAAGAATGTCCTTTACACTGATGGTCAGTTGGAAGAATGTCCCTTACATTGGTGATCAGTGGGAAGAATGTGCCTTACATTGGGGGTCAGTGGGAAGAATGCTCCTTACATTGGTGATCAGTGGGAAGAATGTCCCTTACATTGGTGATCAGTGGGAAGAATGTGCCTTACATTGGGGGTCAGTGGGAAGAAATGCTCCTTACATTGGTGATCAGTGGGAAGAATGTCCCTTACATTGGGTATCAGTGGGAAGAATGTTCCTTACATTGGTGGTCAGTGAGAAGAATGTCCCTTACATTGGTGATCAGTGGGAAGAATGCCCCTTACATTGGTGATCAGTGGGAAGAATGTCCCTTACATTGGTGATCAGTGGGAAGAATGTCCCTTACATTGGTGATCAGTGGGAAGAATGTCCCTTACATTGGTGGTCAGTGGGAAGAATGTCCCTTACATTGGTGATCAGTGGGAAGAATGTCCCTTACATTGGTGGTCAGTGGGAAGAATGTCCCTTACATTGGTGATCAGTGGGAAGAATGTGCCTTACATTGGGGGTCAGTGGGAAGAATGCTCCTTACATTGGTGATCAGTGGGAAGAGTGCCCCTTACATTGGGGATCAGTGGGAAGAATGTTCCTTACATTGGTGGTCAGTGAGAAGAATGTCCCTTACATTGGTGATCAGTGGGAAGAATGTCCCTTACATTGGTGATCAGTGGGAAGAATGTCCCTTACATTGGTGGTCAGTGAGAAGAATGTCCCTTACATTGGTGAGCAGTGGGAAGAATGTTCCTTACATTGGTGGTCAGTGAGAAGAATGTCCCTTACATTGGTGATCAGTGGGAAGAATGTCCCTTACATTGGTGGTCAGTGAGAAGAATGTCCCTTACATTGGTGATCAGTGGGAAGAATGTTCCTTACATTGGTGGTCAGTGAGAAGAATGTCCCTTACATTGGTGATCAGTGGGAAGAATGTCCCTTACATTGGTGATCAGTGGGGAGAATGTCCCTTACATTGGTGGCCAATGGGAAGAACGCTCCTTATATTGGTAGCCAATAAGAAGAACACTCCTTATATTGGTGATCAGTGGGATGAATGCTCCTTATATTGGTGGTCAGTGTGAAAAATTCTCCTTACATTGGTGGTCAGTGGGAAGAATGCTCCTTACATTGGTGATCAGTGGGAAGAATGTCCCTTATATTGGTGATCACTGGGAAGAATACTCCTTACATTGGTGATCAGTGGGAACAATGTCCTTTACATTGGTGTACAGTGGGAAGAATGTCCCTTACATTGGTGATCAGTGGGAGGAATGCTCCTTACAATGGTGGTCAGTGGGAAGAATGCCCTTACATTGGTGTACAGTGGGAAGAATGTTCCTTACATTGGTGGTCAGTGGGAAGAATACTCCTTACATTGGTGATCAGTGGAGAAGAATGTCCCTTACATTGGTGGCCAATGGGACGAACGCTCCTTATATTGATGGCCAATAAGAAGAACGCTCCTTATATTGGTGGCCAATGGGAAGAATGCTCCTTATATTGGTGGCCAATGGGAAGAATGCTCCTTACATTGGTGGCCAATGGGAAGAATGCTCATTTCATTCATGGGCAATGGAAAAAATGCCCCTTACATTGGTGATCAGTGGGATGAATGCTCCTTATATTGGTGTTCAGTGTGAAAAATGCTCCTTACATTGGGGATAACTGGGTAGAATGACCCTTACATTGGTGGTCAGTAGAAAGAATGTCCCTTACATTGGAGGTCAGTGAGAAGAATACCCCTTACATTGGTTATCAGTGGGAAGAATGCCCCTTACATTGGTGATCAGTGAGAAGAATGCCCCTTACATTGGTGGTCAGTGAAAAGAATGTCCCTTACATTGGTGGTCAGTGAGAAGAATACCCCTTACATTGGTGATCAGTGGGAAGAATGTCCCTTACATTGGTGATCAGTGAGAAGAATGCCCTTACATTGGTTATGAGTGAGAAGAATGCCCTTACATTGGTGGTCAATGGGAAGCATGCTCCCCTACATTGGTGGTCAGAGGAAAAATGCCCTACATTGGTGGTCAGTGGGAAGAATGCCGCTAACAATGGTGGTCAATGGGAAGAATGCTCCCCTACATTGGTGGTCAGAGGAAGAATGCCCTACATTGGTTGTCAGTAGGAAGAATGCTCCCCTGCATTTGTGGTCAGAGGAAGAATGCCCTGCATTGGTAGTCAGTGGGAAGAATGCTGCTAACAATGGTGGTCAATGGGAAGAATTCTCCCCTACATTGGTGGTCAGTGAGAAGAATGCCACTAACATTGGTGGTCAATGGGAAGAATGCTCCCCTACATTAGTGGTCAGTGGAAGATTGCCTCTTAAATTGATAGTCATTGGGAAAAATGTGACTTACATTGATGGCTAGTGGGAAGAATGGGACCTCATATATGATCATATATAGTCAAGTTCAGAAATGGTAAATGATGTCACCCAGGAGACCTCACTCCTGTCATCTGCTGAACCTGACTATTGGTGGGAGTGAAGGAATAGGAACAGATGTGTGTTAGCGATTGGTGTATTTTTTTTTTTTTCCTTTCAGCAGGGGCTTAGTATAAAATAATTTTTTGGGGGGGAGCGGGCATTTATTTATTTGCATGATATGAATTGTGAGTTGAGTCCACCATGCCGATTTTTTTAAAAACCATCTCATACTCGTTTTCTTACAAGGCTGGGAATACTTGGTCATGTAAATGATTGGGGTCTGTGCCATCACTGGTTGTTAAGGACTCAGGGGTGCCTGCACCCCCCGGTGTCATTAACTACCATTGACAGTGGGAAGCTATCATGTATAATAGTGGTAGTAATACTGGTAATAATGTTCCTAATACAGGTATTATAAATGATGCTCAACTCCGGAAAAGGTCCGTATTTAGTTCAGACCAAACCTTAACCTCATCCTTGTATGATGTGTTCACCGGCTTTCTCTGGACAAGCCCACAAGAACTGGGTTGCAGGAGCTCAGCAGCAAGATTTAATTGCAGCTTAGGGAAAGCTGAAAGTCAATTGGCTCTTTGTTTAGCTGGCTATACATACAATATATTGGGGGTTTTTTTGTTCCATTGTTCCATTATTTTTGCTTTTTGTTTTTCCCCCCACTATATTATTATTATTATTATACAGTATTTATAAAGCGCCAATAGTTCGCTCAGCGCTGTACATTACAAAGGGGGACAGAACATGTGACAGAACAATACCAATACAATGCAAAACATGAGGGGATCGAGGGCCCTGCTCTTTGGAGCTTACAATCTAGGAGGGAGGGGATCGTGGCACAGGAGGAGATAGCTGTGGGGGATGGAGTGGTAGGAAGAGTGGAGGAGGTCGGCAAGTTAGCAGGGGGTGGGGTAGGCTTCCCTGAAGAGGTGGGTTTTCAGGGTGCGCCTAAAGGAGAGGAGAGTAGGTGATAATCTGATGGGTTGGGGCAGGGAGTTCCAGAGGATGGGTGACACCCTGGAGAAGTCCTGGAGGCGGGCATGGGAGGAGGAGACCAGGGAACTAGAGAGAAGGAGGTCTTGTGAGGAGCGGAGTGTGCGTGTTGGGTGGTACTTGGATATTAGGTCAGTGATGTAGTTCGGGGCAGTATGGTGGACAGCTTTGTACGTCAGTGTTAGGATTTTGAATTTGATCCGTTGCGCAATCGGAAGCCAGTGGAGGGATTGGCAGAGGGGGGTGGCGGAGATGGAGCGGTTGGAAAGGTGAATGAGTCTGGCAGCCGTATTCAGGATCGACTGAAGCGGGGATAGCCAGCGGCGAGGGAGGCCAGTGAGGAGGGAGTTGCAGTAATCGAGTCGTGATATGATGGGTGAATCAGCTCAGATGGGTGAATCCCTGTTGCAGCTATTGTATTTTGACAGCCAGCTGTCAAAATACTTGCACAGCTTATTGGCTGCCACTGTGTAGTCAACAATTTTCCACTGAACTCCTTTAATTTTTCACTCAAAATGTTGTCGGGAGGGAAGGGGGCTGATGGTACCACGCACTTAGTGAATTCCGTAGAGTGCATGACCAGCTTTAGGCTTTTGCCTGACACATCTTTGGTGGATATTTAGGATTGTTGTCCTACAGAAAAATAAGTCGTCTTCAGTACAATATTAGCCCAGAAGGCATGGCATTCCTCCACAGATCATAGAGAGACTTGTCTTAGCTCAAAGCATAGTTGACTTTGTGAAGTCATCGCCTCAGTATGGGTGAAACTCTTGACTCTTTGATACCTTGTTGCTTTGAGCTTCTGTTTTATCCATGCTGGAGGACTTACACACACATATATAGTATAATATATATATATATATACACTGTCTATACAGTGCCTCAAAAACTATTCATACCCCTTGAAATTTCCCAAATTTTGTCACGTTACAACCGAAAACGTCAATGTATTTTATTGGGATTTGATGTGATAGACCGACACAAAGTGGCACATAATTGTGAAGTGGAAGGAAAATGAGAAATGGTTTTCAACATTTTTGACAAATAAATATCTGAAATGTTTGGCAGCATTTGTATGCAGCCCCCCGGAGTCAATACTTTGTAGGACCCCCTTTAGCTACAATTCCAGCTGCAAGTCTTTTTGGGGATGTCTCTTTGCACATCTAGAGAGGGACATTTCTGCCCGTTCTTCTTTGCAGAATCGCTCAAGCTCTGTCAGATTGGATCGAGGGCGTCTGGGAACAGCAATTTTCAAGTCTTGCCACAGATTCTCCATTGGATTTAGGTCTGGACTGTGACTGGGCCATTCTAACACATGAAGATGCTTTGATCTGAACCATTCCATTGTAGCTCTGGCTGGATGTTTCGGGTCGTTGTCCTGCCGGAAGATGAACCTCCGCCCTGGTCTCAAGTCTTTTGCAGACTCTAACAGGTTTTCTTCTAAGAATGCCGTGTATTTGGCTCCATCCATCTTCCTATCAATTCTGATCAACTTCCCTGTCCCTGCTGAAGAAAAGCATCCCAACAACATGATGCTGCCACCACCATGTTTCACGGTGGGGATGGTGTGTTCAGGGTGATGTGCAGTGTTAGTTTTCCACCACACATAGCGTTTTGCTTTTAGGCCAAAAAGTCTAATTTTGGTCTCATCTGACCAGAGTCCCTTCTTACACGTTTGCTGTCCCCCCCCACATGGCTTCTCGCAAACTGCAAATGGGATTTCTTATGGATTTCTTTCAACAATGGCTTTCTTCTTGCCACTCTTCCATAAAGGCCAGATTTGTGGAGTGTGCAACTAATAGTTGTCCTGTGGACAGATTCTCCCCCCTGAGCTGTGGATCTCTGCAGCTCCTCCAGAGTTCCCATGGGCCTCTTGGCTGCTTCTCTGATGAATGCTCTCCTTGCCCGGCCTGTCAGTTTAGGTGGACAGCCATGTCTTGGTAGGTTGGCAGTTGTGCCATACTCTTTCCATTTTCAGCTGATGGATTGAACAGTGCTGTGTGAGATGTTCAAAGCTTGGGATATTTTTGTATAACCTATCCCT